ATCGAGTGAAAGACATGTTATCGAAAAATCATCAGATATTGTTAAATGAGGTCACTGATATAGGTAAGGTCACAGGAGTCGGGTCACTAAGGACCACAGCATAAGCCCAACTATACTAGGGTTGTGATTACATGTTTTATGGTCAATTTTACATTTCAAATTCAATAGTGTGGGCTGGGCGATCATCAGGACCAGCTGTGGTTGCGTTTTGGTGAAGATCGGGTCAAGGTCAGATAAAAAGGCAAAATTTTAAAATGAATATTTTTGCATAAAAAGGGTGTAGGTTCGATGCAGCTCGTCACGGGGAAGCAAGTGGTGCTCTTGGTTGTACGTAGCGTGGTACAGGGTGTCCACGTCAAAAGTGTACCCAGACTTTTCTCCGTATTTTATCTTAAAAACATCACACTCACAAACAATTGCCCTCGTTTGAGAGTCTAGGCAATGGCAAAACATTTGCTATGCTTTTCAACTGTGTTCGGCACTCTGCTGACCAGCGGGCAGCGCGTGCAGTCTAGAGCAACTGCTCTATATGAGCCCCTTTGCGTCGGGCCACCGCCGGCAGACGGACCGTGGCATGTAAAATCCCACAATGTCCCGTGCACTGGGGATCCTACCGCCTAGAAAAAAGTTCAGACCACATGCCTCTGCAGTCTGCATAGCAAGAAAGTATCGGTTTGGGTGGCAATGAGGCATGGAGGGGCTTTATCGGCCCCTCCTTTTTGGAAGACGACAGGGGAGAGACAAACACAACACCATAACGCTAGAACGCTACGTCTCGGAGGCACTGGAACCATTCTGGCGAGAGCTGAAGCGGAGACGCGGGATCCGTCGCCATGAAGAATGGTTTCAACAGGACGTGGCGCCGCATCACACCGCCAAACGGTCGCTGGAATTCATTGAGGAGCACTTTCCTGACCGCCACATCAGCTTGAAAAGCGCGGTGGAATGGGCTCCCCACTCGCCCGACCTCAGCCCTTTTATATTTCTTCTTGTGGGGCTTTCTCAAGGACTGTGTGTACGCCGGCAATCCAGGGTCGACCCAGGAGCTGAAACACGCCATCAGCGACGATATCCGTCGCCTTCCTTCCCACATGGTCGACAAGACGATCACCCACCTCCAGACGGTGGCCCGACGCAAAGGGGCTCAATACTCATGTAGAACAGTTGTTCTAGACGGCACGCGCTGGTCAGCAGAGCGCCGAGTACAGTTGAAAAGCATAGCATATGTTTTGCCATTGCCTTGGCTGTCAAACGAGGGCAATTGTTCGTGAGTGTGATTGATGTTTTTAAGATAAAATATGGATAAGAGTCTGGGTACACTTTTGACGTGGACACCCGTAAAACGACTAAAAATTGGTCTTAAGAATATTACGTCTGCAATCCTGAGTAATTTTTCTCCACAATCTTGCAAAAAAAATCGGGCTATGCATCTCGGGTTTGGATGACGGCTGGCGACCGTCATCCAAGTTGTTTTGAAGCATATATTCCGTTTTTTTTCTGAAATTTTAACCCTCGCCGGCACAGGCCATTTTGCGTCCTTCGACGGCACAAGGGGGGGGGGGGGGGTTGGTACGACCCCCCTCGCGTTTGGCCCCTGATCGAGCTAGAGCTTCGCGGAAAAAACGAGCGTGTTTCCCGTCACCAGAGGGAGCCGATGATACCCAGTTTTAAGGTCCTAGGTCATCTGGTGACCTTCCAGGTCAGGTCAATGACCCGAAAACCGGGGAAATCGGGACCTGTTAGAAAGTCGTAAAGTGTAGCTGCCATGGGGTTTTCCGGGGTGCTGATCACGAATATCGTGTTAGTTTTGATCAGAGATGATGTCTTTAAGCATTTCGACCAGGTCGGGTCAGGTCAGGTCAACTGGTAGGGGTCGTGACGGGTATTCGTAATACGTGTCAACCGCCTCTGACAGCTTCGTAACATGTTACGAAGGCACCAAAACTACTTCGTAAATGTTCAAATGGTTGCTAAATTCGAATTCAGCTCCAAAAACTAGCCTGGAAACATGTAAAATTCGAAAAAGTGAACCGAGGTCACCAAAGGTCAATGACCTGACCTGACCTTCAGGTGACCTTGACACCCACCCTAATGCATGGGAGCAACATCAAATCACATGTTTGAACGTCTGAAACCACGAAAAGCTTGCAAACGCGCGGCTAATGCGAGCCGACATACGCCGAATCGCGATTCCGACCAAACATGGTCCCGGAAAAGAGGTCACAGGTCAAAGGTCATTTGGGTCAGGGTAATGAAATTTTCAGGGTGCACTGAAAACTTTTTTACCATTTCCTGAAGGGTAAACCCGCCATAGCATGGTAGCTTGACACACAGACGTTTTTTACCACCTTCCAGATGGTAAATTTTACTCTTTCATGAAGAGTAAACTCGCCAGGGAGGGGAAACATGACACACAGACGTTTTTTACCATCTTCTGAATGGTAAACTCTTTTGATTTACTCTTGTCTAGAGTGTAACATTTTTTGGGTTACACTCTTTGAAAGGGTAAATCTTTAACGGAACCCTTTTTTAGGGAGTAACGCATCATCTACTCTGTGCTTTACCCTCCTACAGAGAGTATATTCTTATGGCCTATCCTTTGTCACATGGTAATGTTTACTCTTTCCTTTAGTGTAAACCCCCCAGAGGATGGTAACAGACCCACAGACGCTTCCTTCAGAAGCTTCACGAAGCTTCTGTTAACCGGAGCTCAACAACTAAAAAAAAAAAATGCTTCAAGAGCAACAATGTAGGTATATTTGGCTTCCGTACAAACAATACGAGGGGCACACCAACCATGAACATTGTGAGACTCTTCACTTATTCATACAAATTTATACAAAGCGTTCAGCAATGCACAAGCGGTAAATAAACACCTCGATGCAACTTGAATGCAATTTGAATATGAATACAAGACATTCAGCGCCCTCATATTGGATTAGGCAGAGCGCACAATATTTGAAGTGAGCGACGGCGTTCCTGGGTGGTCGCCCGTCTGTGTGAGATAATGAGACTGGATCACTACAGTGAAAGGCTTTTTCAGTCACCAACAAAATGCATAAACTTGTAGCATCACAACAAAATTAATGTACGTACTCACAACACTAGGCCACGTGGCCGTGCACGGGGTCCTGTTAACCAGGTCAAATTAGCACCACTCAACGGCACGCAATGCTCTAGCACATCGGTACTTACAATAAAATGTCCACAGAGGCTCTATAGGCGATGAACAACACACAAGCACAATCACCAACGGCCACGCCGCGCGGCACCGACACTGCTCACATCCGCTCTCGGAGACCAACGGCCGAAAACTGACGGATGCGCGCGGCCTTCAAACCGCAAACGGCCGATCTCGTTTCTGATTGGCTGATTGTTTCCATTTCAAATATCATCTTCACGAGGGTAAACAAGATCCACGCATGAAACGACTATCTGTACCCGAGTCACGATACCCAGGAGGAAAGAGTTTTCGTGATGTTCTGGATCGCGAGAGTAATATTGATATTTACATGGTAATAATACTCTTCGCTGGCGAATAAGTTCATATTAACCACGTACCGTTACTATGAACATAGTGGTAGCAGCGAGTTACCCTTTCAATATACTATTATCTTGCGGGTTTGATGAAAATGAACTCTCCAGGAGGTAGTAAAAAAGTTTTGAGTGTGGGTGTGATAAATGCGAGGGTACTGAAAGTTTCGTCGCGATCGGCCGCTTTTTACGCGAGTTATTCGCGAAAAACCTTAGGGGGGGGGGGTGCATCAACCCCCCTGTGCCGGCGAGGGTTAATTTTGCTTTGTATTTTTAGGGTATTTTATCAATCAAAATATCTTTTCATTTTTAGTTTCCGGGGTCAAATCCAAGCGTTTCAAAAGTACGAAATACCATTTTTGTAGTTGTTAATTCTACAACTTTTTGTAACTTTCTTTCTCTGTACATTCAAAACTGCAGGCGTGACAGCTCTTGCCGCAAAACTTTTATTCGGGTCTAGAATGGCAGAACATTACGTTATCTTAACCTTTATGGCCAACCAATCATGGCCTCTTGAAACAAAAAATGGCCACAATGTGTGAAATTGATGCTCGGAAGAATCCTGAAAGTTGGTGAGGATACCTGCAATATTTTGAAGAATTCAACAGGAGAAGAGAGGGGCCGTTTCGCCCCCCCCCCCAAACGGGACGCGGGTTAACCTCGCCCATATTAGCGTTTTGCCAGCCGCTGCCACGAACATACAGGGGGTCTGAACATACATAAGAGACCCTTGGACCCTTGTTGGACCCTTCCCCTAGCCATTTGACCCCATAGAGCCAGAGCTTCGCGGAAAATGACATTGTTGACTGTGACGAAAACAGAAATGATAGCCAATTTTAGGGCCTCAAGTGCAATACAAGTCCGACAGAATGAGTTCCTACAGCAAAAGAAGTTCGTTCCAGATGCAACATCACGACATAGCAGAAACCCTGTAAGACATGTTTCCCTCGGGATAGTTATATGATCTCTTCTAGAGGTCTGCACCGGCCGGCTGCAGCCGCGGCTGGCTGCAGCCCCACGGCTGTGGGCCGGGGCGGCTGCAAATATCTCCAAGAACACGGCTACGGCTGTGGCCACGGCTGTGAGATTTCAAGCTCAATCTAAAGTACTCAAATATAAAATTTTAAATCCTTAATCTTACATTCTGATAAGCAGTCTAGCCTGTAAAAATCATGCAAAGGATGCCCAGCAACATTGAAAGTGGTGAAGCCTTTGAAAACCTGTAATGGTTTTATCATTTGCCGTAGGGGAGTTTGCACTCTGGTACAGAATACTAATCATAGGTACTTTTTTAACATATAGCGACGTATATTTAACATGTAAGATCCAATACAATATTGCATCGCAGAATTTTTTTCCACAAACGCGATTTACACGCACGCACACGCACACACGGACACATACACCCATACACACGGAGGAGGTCGGGGCCGTTCCGCCGCCGGTGCCGCTCCCTGACGCGGCCGTCACAGCGCCCCGCCGGCTTCCTCCACACTGACCACTTGGTCGCAAAGGTCTTTGTGCAGGTAGAAGAAGATGTAGCCGTTCCTCTGGTGTCCGGCCTCGCCCAGAACGTCGGCCTCGTCCACACAGCTGACGCGCCGATCGTCGTAGTGGAACCACCTGTCCCTGCCGACGCTGTACACATCCGACACGTAGTGCCCAGAGTGTGTGGCGCTGCCGTAGTGGCTGACGACGCCCACCAGCCGGTAGGTAAAGTCGCCGGCCAGGTCCACTGAGCAGAGAGACTGGCCGTCTTCCACGCAGAGCTCCGATAGGTGTGCCTGCTCCGAGGCGTCGGCCGGCGCTCCCTCCAGCGACCTCATGATGGCTTCCTGGAGCTCGCGGTCTTTGCTCTCGCAGGTCCGCGCCGGTTTGAACTTGGAGTCGGCGTCCAGCACCACCAGCTCGGCCTGCGCTGGCGGCGGCTGCGGCGGCTCGGCACTGGTCGCCGGTGACGGGGGACGCACCGGTGCCGCGGCTCCGGCCGACACCGGCGAGTCGGCGGCGGCGGACTCCGGCAAGCCGGCGGTGGCCGGCACTGGTGACAGTCCACAAAAAAAATATAGGTACCAATTGTTCCTTCATAATCAAGAGCTTGACAGTTTCAGAAAATGCAACATGTTGCATTGTCACATCCCTCTCAAATCAATCTCACCTGGTCATTGGGAGAGCACCTTACAGCTATTAAAGACAAACGTTCAATAATTCTTTCAGGTAATAGAAAAAGAAATCACGCCTAGGTAAAGGCAGGTAAAACTAAAGAATTCATAAAATCTATATTACTATTTGTGGTTGTGGTGTTTCCGACAAAAGTCCGAGTTGGTCTAGTCTTCTATTTCCATTCCAACGGCACCAACACCTCACACGGACCCGTCCTCTCGCCTCCGCCCTCTCTGCCTCACTGCCGCCTCTCACCCCGTCCACACATGGCCAGCAGGCGGCTTCCACCCATGAACAACGTCGCCCTTCTTCCGTCCCTCCACGTGTCTCTGTCGCTAACGAAACAGTACTAATTCAGGCCCACTCGCCGACGCACAACTAAGCTAGAATGACACATTCGAAACACATTCCCCCCTGTTCCTAAAGGAACACATTCACTCAACCGTCTCGCTCGGGATGGGGTCACCGTACAGCTGTGTCGCCCGTCTGCAGCGCGCACCCCTTCTCAGTGTCTCACTATCGTTACACGGTCCACCCCCACCTTCCGCCGGTCCCTCAGCCTCATCCCTGCGGTCACTTGGCGTTTCATTTTCCAAAGCCGAACCTTGGCCTTCGGTGTCCGTTTCCAGTTTCACGTCACCTCGCGTCTCAGTCTGCGGGTCCCCGGCAGGGTCGTTAGTCGGCGCGACCGTCGGGGCCGTCGCCGGGGCCTCAATGGCCAGCCGCCCGGGCGCCCGGACGGTCGGAACCGGACAAGGGACGTCATTGTCCATCTGCCCGTGCTCCTCCTCTGTCGCAATCACTGTCGCGTCATCGACCAGACGATGCCGCACGTTTCGGACGTGCCACGGCACACCGTCCACCTCTATCGTCTGCGGTGAGACGATTTTAGTGACAGTGCCTTCCCTGGACACCGCGGTGCACCGATCACCCCGTTTCCGAATCCACACCGCGTCTCCGAGCTGAAATACGCCAGGCTGGCGGGCAGTCGGAACAGATGTGCCTCCATGTGACTGTACACACAAGTCCCTACCAGCCTGACGGTACACGCCGTGTACGGGGGCCGACGCGATATCACAGCCGTCCTTGGGCGTGACATTATAACGATGCACAGCCTCCGGCACGGTGCAGCCCTGACGGGTGGCCATCACTTTAATGGTGCGGTGGTGGCGCTCGATGATACCATTCCCGCCAGGCTCATATGCTGCGCGGTACCTCAAGTTCACGTCCCATCGCGCCGCGAACGCCTTCAACTCTCGTCCTTTGAACTCCGTCGCGTTACCCATCAAAAGCTCGGCCGGCGCCCCTCGCTCTAAAAAGATGCTTTCTAGCTGCCCGACGATCTCGCTGCCGTCAGAGCGGCGAATCTCGCGCCACATTGCGTACCGCGACGGTCCGCAGTCGATCACGGTCAGGTAGGTCTTGCCGCGAAAATGTGTGACGTCCATGGCCAGCCGCTCCCAGGTACGGTCGACCTCCAGGGTGCCGTGCTTCCACCGCGACGGGGCAGGATCGATGGACGTGCACACCTGGCACGATTTGACGACCGCCCGGACCGCTGACTTTGTCACGGCTCCGCTGCCCAGCTCTCGGCGCGCGTACCACCAAGTACGGCGCACCCCCTGGTGGCCCACGCTCTCATGCACCGCCTGTATGTCCTCTGCACGCGCTGTCCTCACGGCGGCCACCACGCCCACGGCCTCTGGCGGTTTGACCTTCAGCCACTCCCTTGGCACTCTTGTCAGTTCATCGGCTCGGTTATTCGCTGACGGCACAAGTTCTACCGACACGGCAAGACCGTACTCAGTCACCAGCTGCATGAACACTGCCACCCGCCGCCGTATCAGCATTTCAGACTGCGCCTTGGTGCGTAGCCTGGCTCGGCCTGTTAGCGCGTCGGTAAGCCAGCGCTGAACGGTTACGGAGTCCGTGCGCAGATTCAGCCGTCTGAAACCCCACGCCACGGCCATGTTGACACCGTTCAACGCAGCATCCAGCTCAGACAAGTTGATGTGCATGTCGGTGTCCACCTCGGTGCGCAGCCACGCGGCGTCTTCGATCACCTCGCCCGTGTCAGGGTCACTTAGGACCACGCCGCGGGCGATGGCACTGGCGTCAGTCCACACGGTGACAGATTCGCCGGAGACGCACCACTGTCCCCGTGCTGGGTCGTGCTCTGTCACCCGCCGGGCCACGTCAGTGACCTGTTTGAGCAAGTCATTGTCACCGATCGGTGAGTCCCAGTCGTCACTCGCTTTGTTCGCCGTCCTCTTTAGCCAGGCAGCGGCTGGTCGCAGCCACCCAGCAACAGGCATGTGTGACGTCAGCTGACCTGCCCAAGCGAAGACCGCGCGCCTGGTCAACACCTCAGGTGGCTTTGACGGTGTCAGGTCGTCCCGCGTCCATCGCAGTGCGCCGTCGAGGCCCTGCTGCACGCGCAGTCCCAGCATTCTCGCTCCCGCTTCATTTGTCGCGCGCTCCGGCGGCTTGCACTCCAGTCCGTACCTGGCAAAATGCTGCGCTACCTGCTGGGACGAGACGTACGTCTCGTTTACCAACAGGTCATCAGCGTAGGGTAGCACAGCCTTTGCCATATCGGGGTCCTGATCTAATACCTCCCGCACCACTGCTCGCATGACGTCACTCGCAATGCACAGACCGAACCCGACACGCGTCAAAGCATATCTCTGGCCACCAACAATCACTGTCTGGAATGGCCACAGCTCTGGAGCCACGTGTAGCTGCAGAAAGGCCTTCTTCAGATCAATCACAGCAACATTGGCTCCATGACGGCGCCACTTGCGGAGCTGGTCACGGCAAACATCGGCTTCAGCCGTATGGGGCACCAGATGCTCATTTAACTCTCTGTAGTCGAGCACCGGCCTGACCTTGTTCTTGGCCTCCTGAATCGCCACCATGAGCGGGATCAAACCTCGCACCGGTCCATGCTCTCGTTCGTCGTAAGGCTGCAGCCAACCTTCATCTATCCACAACTGCAACTCATCATCGAACTGTCCCTGCGCCTCGGCCGGCACGCGATACTGCGGCACAGTATTTGCGAGCCTCACAGGCTCCTTGCCGTTGGCCCACTTCCACCACACTGTCCACTTCCCTGCACTGAACTTTGCCAGAAAGTCCGCCGTCTCGATCTGTCTGTCCCCCGGACCGCGCGCCTTAACCACAGCGGCAGATGAGCCACTCGATTCAGGCCGAACACCTGCATATTCCGAGCGCTCCTCTCCCGTCACACTGCCGTCCCCGAGCCCCGGGCCGCGCGCCTGAACCACAGCGACAGACATACCACTAGACTCGGCCCGAACACCGGCACACCCCGATCGCTCTTCTCTCGTCACACTGCCGCCCCCGAGTCGCACCTCTCCTGCCCGAACAAACACACCGCCCAGAGCCTCCAATCCGGTCATTCCCAGCAACACATCGACACCCATCAGCCTTTCCGCTACCACCACAGCACGTACCGCAGCTCGGCGGCCTTGTGCTTCCAGTCTCACATCTGCCCTCCCACAGCATCGCACCGCACTACCATTCACTGCTGTCATATTTATCTCACACTGATCCCAGCTGCTCAAACACCCAACAAACACCACCGTTTCCTCGCAGCCCGTGTCCACCAGCGCGTGACACGGCCGTCCGTTGAGCAGCATGATGATCACCGGCGCTCTGCTGCCGGCGCGGTGGGCGGCGGAGGAGACGCTTGCGCTGATGCAGCTCCCCCGCCGCAGCCGTTTGGGCACATCCGGGCGACATGACCCAGCCGGCCACAGGTCCAGCAGCGGATCGGACCCGGCCGTCGAGCCGACCTTGAGATGTCACTGTGATGGGGCGGCGGGCCGCCCGCCGTCGTCGCCGCTGCCGCCGCCGCCACCGGCCCCGCCGCAGTGACCGCTGCCCTGGAGAGCACTGCTCTCGCCCGGTCCAGGACATACTCCAGCGTGAAGCTCTCCCCGAGCCCGTCACGGACCGAGGCCTGCACAGTCTCCGGCAGTCCGTTGACAAAGACGATCGCGATGGCCCTTTCGGGGAGACCACCCATCAGCTCAGCGAGCTGCTGCAGCGCCGCCAGATAGACGTCTGCTGTTTCTCCGGGACGAAGGTGGCGTCTGGTCATCTCGGCCTGTGCTGTGAATGGGTCCATGGCGAAGGCCCTCAGTAGCTTGGCTTTCACACTGGACAGGTGATGGCGAGTCTCCGGAGGCATTCGCGACCACACCGCAAAAGCACCACCGCGCAGCCGAGTCGGCAGCACCGCCATCAACGATACCGCGCGTAGCTCGCACAGGAGAGCAGCCTGCTCCAGCCATTCCACGACGTTCCCAGTTCCGTCAAATTCCGGAATGGTTCTGGCGTCGAACGCCGGCGTCGCCTCCATCACTGCTCTTCCGGTGCCTCCGTCACCAGGCTCAGAGCTCTCACCTGGCATCTTCTCACCGCTTGGACCAGAAAAATGCCGAAATAGCTTGTGGTGTTTCCGACAAAAGTCCGAGTTGGTCTAGTCTTCTATTTCCATTCCAACGGCACCAACACCTCACACGGACCCGTCCTCTCGCCTCCGCCCTCTCTGCCTCACTGCCGCCTCTCACCCCGTCCACACATGGCCAGCAGGCGGCTTCCACCCATGAACAACGTCGCCCTTCTTCCGTCCCTCCACGTGTCTCTGTCGCTAACGAAACAGTACTAATTCAGGCCCACTCGCCGACGCACAACTAAGCTAGAATGACACATTCGAAACACAGTGGTGACGTAGTTTCTGTCTGTTACCGAGGTCGCGACATGGTGCTACGTAGCGCGGGTTACAGGTCAGACCGTCGCACCTGGCGCGCTGAAATTTGCGCAACTTATAGCACAAGGATAGACAACGTGCCTTTGATGGGTCTCAGCTCGATCGGTTCGATAGCGAGCACGTGGCGCTTGCCCAAAAAGAGGAAATTCGCGTCATAGACTTTACATGTATAAATCGGCTTGCAAAATCGGGCAAAAATGGCTAACTTTGCCCGACAAGGGTCCGGTTCCCGTGCAATATCTCGTATTATCTAAAATAACTCTTAGATGTATTTCTGGATTTTCGGCAAGTCCAATTACATAATATAAAACTGGCGATTTATGTTCCAACTGGTGTGTGAGTGGGTTCTGCGACACCTGAGCGAGCGTCATTTCAGCGAACGACATTTGAGCGAAGCCTTTTCAGCGATTATCAATTTAAGCGATTGACTTTTTCAGCGATTGTCAAGTCGGCGAATTCAATCACAGCGATTATCAACTTAAGCGAGGACCAGAATCAGCGAAACCAGATTGAGCGAATATATGGAGGTCAATGGGGGACCAATTGAGCGAACACAGTTACAGCGAAACCGAACGCGACGGAAGTCAATCATTTGCTACTTTTCGGGAAGTCTTGCCCTTGGAATACTCGCTTGGTATGTGTCATGCTTCAAGCTGCGCGCGGCAAATTAAAAATTTGCTTTTTAAGCTTGGAAACCACAAAAATATCTGGCCTCATTCTGCAACCTTGATCTGGAAATGTGGAACGTGAGAGATAGGACGATGGAAGGAATGCCAAGGACCAATTATAAACTCGAGGGATGGCAGTGGCACAGGGGGATCCAGTCTATGTTTCAGGGACCTCACCCAAATATCTGAAAATTCGTACGTTGCTTAGGGCAAGAACAAATTTTACAACATGGGGAACTGATCCAAACTCAAGCGGGGGAATTTCGCGAAAAACAGCACAAGCAATGTGAATCTCTAAACAAACGTTTGGTCATCATTATTGATTGGCAAACAGCAGGGGGGGGGGGTGAAATCGAACCGAAATTTTTGAGAAATGTGGCATTAAATTTGGAGCTTAATGTCTGAACTTTGCACGTGACATCCGCCATCCAGTTCCGGATAACCATGAGAAGTTCGGGAAACATTCGTTGTACGTACGCTCGCAAAAGAAAAAAGAAAAAATTTACACCGTTACGGGACGATGAAGTGTTTCGCTGAAATGACAGTCGCTCAAACTGTAGTCGACGAAATAGATGTCGCTGAAACATAGCTTTCGCCTAAATTGATAATCGCTATATTTGATAATCGCTCAATTTGATATTCGCTAAGTTGCCAGTCGCTGAAAATGGTTCGCTCAAATGACGTTCGCTCAAATGACACTCGCTAAAGTCGCTCGCACCGGTGTGAGTGACCGCTAACAGAAAATGCTGATCAACGAAGCCAATGGAATTAGATTATAAGGGAGCATAAACCTTACTTACGGTTAATTCACATGACGGTGAAAACCCTGAACACGATATTTCTTACGCGAGCTGTTGACTTTACTAATAAAATGACGTCTTAAAATGTAAAAAAATGATACTGTATCTTTGTTTGAGAGCAAGTTTATAACTGCATAGCCTTATTATTCATCAAATATAATTTTTATGGCTGTTTGTAGAGACACAATTGCCACTTTTTTGCTATTGACGTCATTAAAAACTCAAATAAAATTTTTGATTGAAAGAGGCAATTGTGGCTCGCACGTCCTTGGTGATTTGAGCGAAGATTGAAGAAAAATGAAAATCAAATTGGAAAAATCAAAATAGATGAATGTTTTTCTTTCTTGGATGCTCACTAGTGTTTTGATGAATTGCATATCAAATTAGTTTGAGACTTGCTCAGAAGGCTGCTTCAAGCCTGGCATATCACACCCCAGAAAATATGCAAGGTAAGAAAGAAGCAAGTTTTGACTAGACAATCACTGTTTGACAGTCCATCAACTTCAGTTTCATTTTCCATAACATTGATAATGAAAAGCATCAGGGTCTGTTGTTCTGTCCCACAACCATGCTTCAGGATTTGGCATTAGATGTCTACACTGCTAGTGCTTCTATTCTGGTTCGTTGATTATGTTTTCTGTTGATGTAGGTACCTACCTACCCATCTTTCTTAACCCCTTGCAAGGGCTTGTGTAGGCATGCGTTGCGCATCAGGCTTCAGGCCTTCGGCCTGAAGCCAGATACACAACCACTTAACCTATGATGCTTAATGAGCTGGAGAATCTACATATAGCCCATTGCAATGTGCTTTTGGCTACATTTTTTTTTTTAAACTAAAAACAACTTATTATATACCATTTGGTTGCATTTCATTGAAAGTATCCACGGCCGGCTGACGGCTGGCTGCTCACAGTTTGCCACGGCTGTGGGCGGCTGTGGCTGTGGAGCCACGGCTGCGGGGCGGCTAGGCTGCGGAAAATTGCAGCCGTGCAGAACTCTAATCTCTTCCATTGACACAACTGAAGGCTGCACCACAAAAAAAAGATACATCAATCTCCTGACTATGTAGGTACTCCTAGTAAATGGGGCTAGTTTTGACGTTCGGCTGGCCAGATGCAAACGAATGCGTCGGTATACCAATAGGTGACGAGCCGGCCCCTGTCGCGTGTAGCACCCCTGCTAGGTACGGCTCTATGGCGCCTCCAGTACCGCACCCGTGACGCCCCGTGACGCCTTAGCAGCCTCTCTTAGGTGCGTCTCGTCGAATGACTGGCTGCTGCAGAAGCTCCACACCTCGGCGACCGTCGAATGTATAGGAGGTGAGGCAGCGGACTGTACAGTTTGTTGACACACACAGCTATACAACCAACTACCTCACCTCCGGAGAAAGCGGCATCGCCTTCATCCTCGTCCCGGTTCCCCGAGCTGGCCCAAAGAGGCAGCGCGAGGTCTCGGTCATGTTGAATCTCCAGTCTTCTCGTGACCTCGGTCCCCCGAGCTGGGTCACAGGCTCAGCGCGAGGTCCCGGTCATTTTGAATCTTCTGTCTCCTCGTGACCTCGGTCCCCCGAGCTGGGTCACAGGCTCAGCACGGGGTCCCGGTCATGTAGAATCTTCCAGTTTTCTCGTTGTCATTCTCTCCACGAGGCGACACAATAGGAGAGGGGCCTCGCAACAGTCTGACCCAGTTAGCACTCGCGGCGAAAAACACCGGTCGATGCGGCGTCTCCCCACAAACACCAGCACGTTTTTGCGAGTGAAGCGCACGTTTTTGCGACGGACCCGGGCGAAGAACATGGACGCACAGAGACGCTGGCAGGTGACGATCAACAGACCATCTCTGACGTGCCGGGCGTCTCTAACGGCACACACTGGGGGCGGCGCAGGGGCGGAGCCTGCAGTGTGCAGCCGTGGCGCCACGGCATCACGACCCCCTGAGTCACCGCCCCCTGAGTCACGGCTCCTGAGTCACGGAACGTCTCCCCTCGGGCGGCCATCTTGTGCCCCTCCTGAGGTCGTGAATAGTCAAGAAGTCGCTAACGGGACGCTTCAGAAGCGTGGGCGCTGTGAAGTGGGCCATCCCGGACGAAATTCAGCCGCGAGAAATAGCTGAGGGAGATCCAGCATTCAGATCCGGCTGAGAGATCCGCCCGCGAGATCCTGGTTAGAATGGCGAATTGGATTTTTTTAAGCATGAGATTCGGTCACATCCAAAAATAGCTTTGGTGGGTACCTTTGTCGGTTTTACCAGAGTGGAGATGCACCTCACTCACCCGTTTGTCCATTTCGTGTTAGCGCGTACAGTCCAATGGATGCACTCTACTCAGACACAAAGCTCTTAGCTCCCCCTGCCCCACACCAGCAGATTCATTACCAATGGGCACGTAGGTATCACACTCACGCCATCTGATTGCCAATTAGTTCGCGAGCTGCGCACGACCCTACTCCCAGTTCCTCGAACTTGGAGCCCACGCATTGTCCCATGACCAGTAACCACTAGCTGATCCAAGTGGTACCCCCCCCCCCCTCCCCCAGCGCCCAAAATCGACGAAAATTTGCCGTTTTTCTAGAATAAAAAAAGACTTAGCTGTCATTAAGGGTGCGTTTCACGCGTAACGCTATGAGAAACGTTTTTCGTAAATATCTGTTGCATCGTTGCTTCGATTGCCTTCGTTTTTGGATATGTTATGAAGGACGGTAACCTCGTCATCACAGAGTGGTTACCGTTGTTCTGCAATCCACATATACTGAGCAATTGAGACAAACATATTGCAAAATCAAAATTTCAAACGAATAGAACTCAACACCGGATTGTCGTACGACTGTGATTTTTTCAGTTTTGGACTGACGAAGTCAAGGAAAACATTTCCTAGCAAGCCTTTTTTCCAATTTTGTGCTATGTTTTGCATGATACAATTTTCATCTTGCAGTGCATTGCATGAAAGCCATGACAACAATTTCAAAAATGTGGCTGCTAGGAATCATAAAGACATCGATTCTATACACAATCCTGTAGAGTGAATCATCATTGTATGCATCACTATGCAGTTCTATTCATTTGAAAGTCATTGCACAGCTAGTTCATAAAATCGCCGAGAGATGTCTCTGGCTGTATGGCCCGCGCGTTTCGACGGTCCCCTCGGCTCGTCACTCAGCGGCGTTTGTTGACACAGTGTCACACCCATTAGTTACGGCGCTCCGCTGGCGTTCGGCCGCCGTCGAGGTGCTCTGAACCCTCCCTGCTAAGTTTCGCCGTGACCAGACGGGTCGGAGACTCGTCCCACGATCTATCCATGAGCGGCGCCCAGCCAGGCGTCTCCTATCGCGCGCCTCTCACTCTTGATCGGGAGTACGCTGGGAAGAGCTTCTGAGAAACTGACAACTTTGAAAGAAGTCACAAGTTTGTGTCAGTGTGAGTGGTATTACGAACAGCGAACAGGTATATTTTGACAATAGGTATTTGACCTGACCAGGGCAGTCAGAACTGAACATAAATAATGAAAATAACCAGCAATACCTACAAATTCCATGGAGACATAGACCCAAGTGATGTGACGGCGAGACCAAATATCAGTTCGACTGTTATGTCAACACCCTCGCCCTAGCAGGGTATTTTTCATACCCCTCCCCCGGCGTTTCGAAACTAAGCGTCGTAGCTCGCTTCGCAACAAAGAGCAGTCGATTGCTCTCAACGAGTACCTACTCGCGATTGATGGTATATTTTTTACCCTAATTTAATATTTGACCCAGCAGGTCAAATTTCGGGGAAAGCTGTAATTATCCAAATTACTTAACCAATATTGGTGAATCTATGAAAGATAGCGACATGAAACCTTCATGACCGTGTTTCTCAACGAATTGGCAACAAAATAATATATAACCCTCGCCCCGCTGGGGGAGGGGGCCAATTTGCCCCCCCTCCCCTGTGGTTTTTCTTGAATAGCAAGAAAACGGCGGCGTGCAGCGCCGCGAAACTTTCAGTACCTTCCTGGGCATCAATTTAACACCTTCACACAAAATTTCAAGTCTGAGGTCACCTTAGGTCAGGAGTTATTGAGGTCAAACTGAGGTCATGTTCGAGCAAAAATGAGCAAAAAACATTAAATCTTGAAACGCTCACAAAAGCTACAGTTACCAAGCAATTTCAAAGTTCTTTATATGGTCATGTAGACAAAAATCGGCGCTACAAATCTGCAATCTCGGATTTTCAAAATTTTGGGATTTTGACCCCCGAAAATACAAAAAAATATTTGTTTGAGAAAAACGCAAAAAAACAAAAATTTTCCGCATTTCGAAAAAAACGGAATATATGTGATGGTCCCTGCGCTTTTCTACATACATACCAAATTTTAGATCGATACCTTCTTTTTTGGCCAAGTTATAGCGAAAAAACTGCTCAAACATGATGACATCAAATTTTCAAACTCAATTTTTAGCAATTCTAGACCACGTAGCGCAAAACAAAGACCACCATTGAACTCTCCGTGGCGAGCTGCATCGAATCGATACCCATTTTATGCAAAAATATCAACTTTGAACTTTGACCTAATTTGACCTGACCTTGACCTGACCTTCACCAGAACATAGTCTAAACTAAATCCAAAGGTTGCCTGACCCACATAATCGCATTTGGCATACAGTGTGTAACGAAATTATCCGGACATCTATTTTTTCGCTATATCTGCTTGCACAGTTTCTTTTTTAATGTCAGAGGCTGGAAATTGGATGAATGCATACCTCTGGTATCTGCTCTCCACTCAGCAGTGATCTGACCTTGCGAAATGACTCTTGCTCTGAGTAAGAGTTGAGTCGCCGACGGGTTTCATTTGATAGTTTTCGTTTAAGGCAGTGGAGAGAAGGGAATACAGTCTTTCGTTTCGTAATAAGGCTACGTGTTGGTGGCATGGTGGCATGAGCCAGAAGCTGGTCTGTCAGCAGCTGGACATCAGCAGCAGCCAGTAGCACATCTGCCTGAGGCGTAATAAGCTGGGACTTGGTGGCAGACTCAGCCCGGCCTCGATCGCAAAAGGCGCCCTTTGCCAAGTGGTGAGGAGAGTTGTCAAGATAGCATTAGCGACAAGGAAACGGCACTAATTTCCGCATACTGACTCGAATTCTTACCAAGGCATAAAATAGGAGGTCCCACATCATGATTCACCGTTACCCGCCCTTTAGCTTGGTTTTACTGCCCTTCAAACTGGAAAAGACAATGAAATTGACGGGAAAACAACCAGTCCACCACCTTTGGCCTCAGGCCAGGGCGTGTCTACTGGTCGAAGGAAGACATGAATGAGGTGCCCTGGTCGGATGGGAAGCTGATCGAGCTGCGATATCCGTTGAGCCGTCAAATCGGCCATGTGTGGGCTGCCAGAAGCTCGAACGTGCCGGCCGTCGCTGCCGTCAAACATCCGGCCAAAATCCAGACCTGGAGCATGTTCAGCTGCTATGTAATATTCAAGCTGCTCATGACGACACAGAAAACCACTATCAGTGACGAGTATTACCGGCGGAACATCCTGACTAGCGATTGGTTGGAGCCACTCAACCAGACGGCACAGGAGGGCTCGGTTTCTGAACGTGTACCGATGCCTGATTCAAGCCGCGCAGTCTTCTTGCGGGGCGGCGTACCACCTTCAAGTCCCTAGCAGAATGAGAAGTGATGCCGAGAGGACCAATTTTTTTTTCTGGGCTAAAGGGCTATGGCTTGGAAATAGTTCCCATGCAATTCCTCCGATATCTTATGGACTATTGTCCATCAGTAGTCCATCAGGACCCCAGCAGGGCGCGTTGCTCGGCAGACCCCAACGAGGCGCGTGATAATTGATTGCATTTCAGTCAAAATAGCGTCTCTATAGATAGGTTTCTTACGTATCACTTTTGAAGTAATAAAGCTAGGCAAAAACTGCATAATAGCAATTAACAGCATCGTAGTCCTCTCGTAATTTCGCCTCGTAGCATATATGTGTTGACTTCGAAAGAGGTCAAAGGTTGACCTCGGATCACATAACCTTAAGCCTCACACTGGTGGGGGCTAATTTTTGCCCCCCCCCCGTATCTTCGAAACTATTGGACGGATTCGTAAAACTCAAACGGCGTTCGATAGCCCTGTTGCATTGATAAAATTAAGTTCATTGACCTCAGGGTCACTGATGACGTCACAGGTCCGGTCAAAGTTAAAATGTTTCACCGTTCACGGGCCTTCTAGAAAACGCGTTATAACATTGATTAACCCGCGCCCGGCTGGGGGTCCTGGATTTCCACGCCCTGCTGGGGGGGGGGGGGGTGTTTGAACACCCCCCCCCCCTTCTAACTCGGCTCCTGGGCCACGTAGCGATACGCGGAAGGCGGCGTTCGAAAGAGCGTCAAAAATAATGAGGAAATCACTTCGGTCAATTTTTTGGTCAGGTCAAAGGTCAGGTCACCAGAGGTCATTGAAGGCAAATTTTCGCCGATTTCCAGGTCGAATGTCGAAAATTTCCAAGAAGCCAACGCATAACTCGGGAACCAATAGAGCTACAGCGCCGCGGAAAAGCGCATTCGATAGCCCTATTAACGCCCTTTCTGAGTAATTTTCTCAGATTTGACCTAACGTCAACGGTTTTGCCTGCAGGGGGCAAAAACTGCAAAAATAGCCGATTTTCTCGGAAACAGTTTTTCTGCAATAACTTTTGACCCAAGCATTGTACGAGCTTACTTTTACCGGCATCGTGTTCCTCTCGTCAAGACGCATCGAACGAACTATAATTTGACCTTGAAAGGTCAACTTGAAAATTTGACCTCAGGTCAAGGTCATGACCTGACCGGAAAGGGTCATGTTGCATATCAGTCGATCCGTATCGTCGAGCTGAACACATCTAAGGCGTTTTCATCGCTCTAGCATGCCTCTATCAAAAGTTATTTGCGAAAAACTGTTAGATACCATTCGTGACCTAAGATGACCTCAGGGCATAAACAGGGGTCACAGACACCATTTTCATGTTCAGTGTGTCTAAACCACTTGTAATTCAGT